TTGATAAAAATGCAGGAAAAAACAAAGTTAAATTGCGGCGAAATTGAAGGTTGTACTAGTCAAATTCTGCCATTAAAAGATAGCATCCCCAATCAAGATGCTCAAAGAAAAAAATAAATACATCAACAAAGCAACAGTATCAGTAACTGGAAAAGATTGTGATTGCAGGCAATTAGAGACGAGAATTGTTGAAAGCGTAAAAGAAGTTCAAGTTACTTTAGAAGCATAGCGCCGAGCTCGCGAAGAATCGCTTGCGAGACCTTGTTACTTTTGGCTGGGTGAAGATATATAACCAAATCGGCATCCGACACCTTGAGCCCTTCCATTGAAACGACGACCGCAACAAGGAGTAGAGGAAGAATCCGCAGCGCCGGAGAAGAAAGAGCGCGCGTGAAGGTAAAAATAACAAATAATAATAATAATAAAAAACAGCTAACGTTTATTAACACGTGCGTTACTGAAACGAATCCTGGATGAAGCCCTAGTCAAGAATTGGGCCTGAACATAAAGGGCCGGAATTAATGGGCTTGAGGGTGGGTTAGGAAACCGGCCCATAACAGAGAGGAGGAATAGATCAAGGCCTTGAACGGCGGCCCACCGGTAAATAAATAAAATGTATTTTAATAAAAAATAATAATAATAAAGAAAAAGGAGAGGGGAGGGTTAGAGACAAAATGGAGGTGTGTTTTGATGAGCAAAAAAGAGAGGAGATTGTCCCCTGGAAACCCTACACATTTCACTGCTTCATGTTCCCCTCATACCACGCCTCCTTTCCTCTTCCCTGCTTCTGGACCCCTTTCTCTGTCTCTCTCTCCCATTATATTATATTATATTATATTCTTTTTTTATTTTTATTTAAAAAATCATTCTATTTCTAATCCCAATTACTAATAATAATCCCATTCATTTATTAGCCGTATATATAAGGAGGAATTCCTCATTAATTAATTCTTTTTATTTTTGTTTACATAAATAGAAATAAATAAATGATATACATAATATATATATTTGGAACACTCCAAGGTATTCTTCACTTAATTGGTTGGTTGATGATGCAGATTTTTCGTTTCCTGCAAAACAATTAATTATCTATTTATTTTGGGAGACAGTCAAAAAGTGAACTTTACGTGGAAGATGGGATCGAATGAGTCTGACAATGTCCAATGGGGCCCACGCGTGAGCCTCACCTTGTTTACCGTAATTTATATTAAATAATAATAAAAATAAAAAAAAAAACAAGGGAGGGTTCCGTGCATGACAATCACGTGCCCTCGACGCCGTTTTGGAAATAACGATTTTTGTTTCCGTGTGCCTTACCGTTTATTTTAATTTTTATTTCATTTTTTTAACATATGCTAGTTGCTTTGTTGAATATTATAATGTCAAGTTGTGTGTATAAGATAATGTTGGACTTCTTTGTAAAATTTCGATGTAAATTTCTTAATTATTGCTTCTAATCTAATTATGTTGTGTAAACATAAATAAATATTACAAGCTCGCCTTATAATACACTTTACCCAAACAAAGTAGGTGGACATTTAATTAAGACTCCTTTTATTTTTAGAAATAAATATTTATTTATTTATTTATCAAAATGCTTAAAAATATGAAATATAAGAAATTATTACTTGGTACTATTTGTCTCAACGGTGCAAACAATATAATACAAGAGTGTGGTAACATTATTACTTATTTGTCTATGAAAAGTAAGCGTTAAAAAAAAATATACATACCAGAATTATTATTTTATTCATATTTCGTAATCTTTGTAGATATATGTTGGTTCTTTTAGAAACTAGAAGAAGAAAAATTTACCATAAATATTGATTACTTATGTGCATGCCAAACTCGAACCCATTTCCTTTATTTATTCAATTCATTGGGGTTTGACCATATTATATACCCATAAAGTAAATCCTCATCCCATTTTGTTGTAAGTTGCTAGTGGATTTAGCATCCTCAAAATTCTCACTTCATCATTATTCATGAATACAAAAGATTATTTTTTTTAATTACTTTCTAACATTATAATTGGGGCGAAGAAAATTTGAATGTATTTAAAATTAATTAAGTAAAAAATGATGAGTATAGAAATAAAAGAATTAAGAGGCGTCCCATAATGGGTAAAAGGCAGCGAAGGGAACAAAACATTCACATACCCCACCCCCTTCCTACACCTCCTGTTAATTTGCCGCGAATCGCACGCGCGATGAGCGCCAACTCGATATTATTGCCGCAACCCACCGCCAAATCAAAGCCGCCGTTCTCATTCCCCTTTATTCTTTTTTATTTTAATAATAAGGTGAAATTACACATTTACCCTCATTTATCTCCTAATTTTTGTATAGACGGTCAAAATTAACTTTGTGACGTAATAAAAACATATTTATTTTTTTAAAATGTTTATAAATCAATCAGTAATATTGAGTTTCTTACAATTTAAAACTTATTTATATGAAAATTGATCCAAAAAGTAAAACTTTATACTAGTTTAACCAATTTAAAAGTAAAAAGTGAACTATTTTTTTCTTTTACAGAAATAACAACGAAATGAAAATATATATTTATATATTATCTTTACAAGAATAATAATTAATGTAACAAAGAAAGAAAAGGGGGAATGGAGGAAGACGAAAATCCAATGGCTATTTGAAATAATCGGTGCTAAAATGCGCCGGTTGACACTCTTCCTTTCCACCAATCCCATTCTCGCTCTTCTGAAAAGACAATCTCTCTCTCCCTCTCTCTCTCACTCAGTCCTTCTTTGTGTACTGTTTTCGTGTTCTCATAGCCTTTCTCTGCTTTTCCTCCAATTGTTTACTATTATTTTTCCTACTTTCTGTTGACACCCTTCAATTTTGGTTCTCTATAACAGTTTAAAGCTGCAAAGAAATGGGGTTATACGGATGCGAGCGCAGGATAAGAGCATGCACACTCTTTCCAGTTTTGAGAGGAGAGAGAGAGATAGAAATTCCGAAAGGGAAATGCCGGAAGCAGCAAGGCTTAAGGTGAGGTGTGAGTAGGAAGGGTGGAGGGAAGTGGTTGATCCTAAGCTCGGTGTCTATTCAACGTAAAGACAACCACACCCACTTCATCATATGCCTCATTCCATGCTTCTTCGATTCCCCTGCTTTTGATGCTATCAGATCCCTTTCATTTCCAGTTTTTGTTCCTTCGTCTTGGATTCTCATGCCCTTCTTCCCTTTTTGACTCATGGTATCGCTCTCTTAGTCCTCCTCGACCTTTCTTGGATGAGGACCTGAAATTGCCTCGTCATCAAGAGAAGGACACGCCATGAGCTCTGTGGAAGACAAGCTCAAGACACCAATGGGTTTGGTTAATAACACCCCTCAGACTAACCTTCTCGACGAGATGAAGTTGCTGAAACAAATGCAAGATCAAACAGGTTCGTTTCAATTCTGGCAATATGTTTTTTTTTTCAAATGGGTATTGCTTAAATGTGCGTTTCTTTTGATTTCAGGGGCCCGGAAGGCTATTAACTCCGAGCTCTGGCACGCGTGTGCTGGTCCGCTTGTTTCCTTGCCCCATGTGGGGAGTCTTGTTTATTACTTTCCTCAGGGACATAGTGAACAGGTGCCAATTGTTGCATTGATGATAATACAGGAAAGGGGGTTTCTTGATGGTTTTATTATTATTATTTTTTTTTTTGCGAACAGGTGGCGGTTTCTACCAAGAGAACAGCAACCTCACAGATTCCAAATTATCCTAATCTTCCCTCTCAGTTGATGTGCCAAGTTCAAAGTATTACCTTACATGTACGTGCTTTTGTTCATATTGGAATTTGGATCATCCATTGCAAAATCTTTGTTCTGAAAAGTCCTCTGCTTTTCTCTTCATTAATGTTTTAGGCTGATAAAGATTCAGATGAAATCTACGCTCAAATGAGCCTTCAACCGGTGAACTCTGTAAGCCAATAGCTTTGAATTTGTGAACAGTTCATAATAGCATCTCTTTTCACGTTCAAATTTGGCCATGGATCAGGAAAGAGATGTCTTCCTAGTTCCGGACTTTGGACTACGGCCGAGTAAACACCCAAATGAATTCTTCTGCAAAACTTTGACTGCCAGTGATACCAGCACACATGGTGGGTTCTCAGTGCCACGCAGGGCTGCTGAAAAGCTTTTTCCGCCATTGGTAAGGTTTCAAGTTCATGTCATTTCTTCTCTGCTGTTACCATTCATAGCCTCTGTGGTTGATCTTGAAACAGGATTACACAATGCAACCACCAACTCAGGAGCTCGTTGTTCGAGACTTGCATGACAATACCTGGACTTTTCGCCACATCTATCGCGGTGAGTATGGTTGGATATGATAATCTACCCCTTATGTTGTTTTCCTGATGGGGGTATGGCTTGTTTATTGTAGGGCAGCCGAAGCGACATCTTCTCACAACTGGGTGGAGTCTATTTGTTGGATCAAAGAGGCTTAGAGCAGGCGATTCTGTTCTTTTCATAAGGTAAGGTAGCGTTTTTGCCACTTTTTTTTTTTTTGTGTCAATGCTATGAAGTTTGAATAATTTGTCTAATGTGACAATCATGTAGGGATGAAAAGTCCCAGTTGCTGATTGGAGTGAGGCGTGCTAACCGGCAACAAACAACATTGCCATCATCGGTACTATCCGCAGACAGTATGCATATAGGAGTTCTTGCTGCTGCAGCTCATGCCGCTGCTAATCGCAGTCCATTCACAATCTTTTACAATCCCAGGTTCCATTAACTTTCAAGAGCTTCAGGTTTAGATTTTTCCAACTTTACATGTGTTTCTTTTTCCCCACAGGGCATGTCCTTCAGAGTTTGTTATTCCCTTAGCCAAATATCGGAAATGTGTATTCGGAACTCAGCTTTCTGCGGGTATGAGGTTCGGGATGATGTTTGAAACAGAGGAGTCGGGAAAACGCCGGTGAGCTTATTACGCGTTTGATTTTGTGTCAATAAATGATCTGGGATGTTCATATAATTGGATTGTAACGCTATTTGTTGCGCAGATACATGGGTACAATTGTTGGGATTAGCGATTTAGATCCACTTAGGTGGCCAGGTTCCAAGTGGCGAAATCTTCAAGTGGAATGGGATGAGCCAGGGTGCTGCGACAAGCAAAACAGGGTTAGTTCATGGGAAATAGAAACTCCAGAAAGTCTTTTCATTTTTCCTTCTCTGACTTCGGGTCTTAAACGTCCATTGCACGGCGGATTTTTGGGTAAGATTATCCCTTTCTGCGACTTTCAGTGTACTCTAAAAGACCATAAAAATGGGAATGTTTCACTTTAGCAGGAGAAACTGATTGGGAAAGTCTGGTGAAGAGACCAATGCTTCGTGTTCCTGAAAATATACGAGGGGATCTTTCATATGCTGCGCCAAATCTATGCTCTGAACCACTGATGAAGATGCTACTGAGGCCTCAACTCGTTAGCCTTCACGGAGCCACCTTACACCAGGATTCAGCTAACAATTTAGTAAAGATACAGGACATGAAGGACATGCAGCCAGAAACCAATTCTAAAATGAAGCAGCTTATTCCGACAGAAACTGCATCTCCCGGGAATCAAAATCCTACACAATCTGATCCCATAAACCCAAATTCATCACCAAAAGAAAGTCTACCAGGAAAAGTGCACACTTCAGCGGCTGCTGAAAGTGAACCTCCAACTGGAGCTGATGATGTTTCAACCAATCAGTCCAATACATTGCCCCCGGTCGGAGATTGTGTGGGGGAAAAACCCACTGCTAAAGAAGTGAATATGCAGACCCTTGTGAACCAGCTCTCATTTATGAACCAGAATCAGATCCCCATGCAGTCATGGCCGTTGCAGCCTCAGCTTGAATCACTAATCCAACACCCACAACCAATTGACATGCCCCAGCCTGAATTTACGCTGGATGGTGATGGATGTTTGATTAACCCATCCTGTCTGCCTCTTCCTGGAGTAATGATATCACCCGGGAACCTTTCCATGTTGGCATTGCAAGAATCCTCAACAGTCTTCCCTGAGGCTCTTAATTTTCCCTTACCCTCAACTGGGCAAGACATGTGGGATCCTCTTAATAATATAAGATTCTCTTCTAACCTGAATTGTATGGGTAATGCAAATGTTATGAGAGCTGTTTCAGACGAGAGCAACAACCAAAGTGGGATATATAGTTGTTCAAACCTTGAAATCAGTAATGGTGGAAATACTTTGGTTGATCCTGCTGTTTCGAGTACTATTCTTGATGATTATTGCACATTGAAAGATGCTGACTTCCCACATCCTTCGGATTGCTTGGTTGGAAACTTCAGCTCAAGCCAAGATGTTCAGTCTCAGATTACCTCTGCTGCTAGTCTTGGAGATTCTCAGGCTTTCTCCAGGCAAGACTTCCATGATAATTCAGGTGGTACTTCCTCTTGCAATGTGGATTTTGATGAGGGCAGTCTTCTGCATAACGGCTCCTGGAATCAAGTCGTACCGCCCATGAGAACTTACACCAAGGTAGGTATCTGTGGTTTTTCTACTAGTTATGGTAACTGCCATGATGTTCTTAGTCTGATGGGATTGCATTTACATTACCATGAACAAAGCTGTCTTATTTATGCTGTCACAATGAGAATTGATCTCAAAATTGTTACTCTGCTCTTGTTACCCTACTCTCAAAATGACAGGTCCAGAAGGCAGGATCTGTTGGGAGGTCTATTGATGTCACTAGTTTTAAGAACTACGACGAACTGTGCTCCGCTATCGAATGCATGTTTGGACTTGAAGGGTTGCTTAATGACCCGAGAGGCTCAGGATGGAAACTGGTTTATGTTGATTATGAGAACGACGTCTTGCTTATTGGAGATGATCCATGGGAGTAAGTTTTCTTCTCGCTATAAGTCCGATTCTCGCTTGTTTAAATATCTTTAGCCTGAAGAGCTGAGAAATAGCAGCTCCTGAATTCAACAAGTCATCTTAGTATTATAGTGTAATCTTTTGCTGGATTCCCTGGGATGATGTCTGCAGGGAATTTGTGAGCTGTGTACGGTGCATCAGAATCTTGTCACCTTCAGAAGTTAAGCAAATGAGCGAAGAGGGAATGAAGCTTCTCAACAGTGCTATGATGCAAGGCATCAATTGCTCCATGCCAGAAGGTGGCCGAGGTTAAGACTCAGTTTTCCTTAACCAGTCATGAAGGCCGATTCTTCTTCTTCGTTAGGCGAGAATCGAGTTTAGTATAATTACTGTCACAAGCTCGAAGAAGGCCGAGTGTTAGCATGAAGCTTTCGTCTTGATTGCTGGGAGCTGTAGTTGAAGTAGATTCAGTTCCTGCAAAATTGTACTCTTTCTGAATTCAGTAGAACAAAAGAAAAAACTTCAACAAGTTAGCCATGCTGCGCCTTCTGAAGGTATACCCACGAACCGTCCATCTGGGTATGCAAGGTTCACGATGGAGCCTTATCTTTGTTGCCTGTCTTTCATTTGCATATTTCCGTTGTCTAGAGATTTTATAGTAAGATAATATATTCTAGAGTTTTTGCTCATACACGGCCTTGTGTTTCTGTTTTCTTTTATTTCTTAGAACACGACCCTATAAACTGAACCACAGGATAGAGATCAATACCAATCATAAAGCTTTAACTCAAAAGTGAGATTAGAAGTGGTACTGTGATAAAAAAGAAATCTCAAACGAGTCTTATTTATCAGTATGGTGTCACCTTTATTTCAAGAACATTCTTCTCACAGGCAGAATTGCCAATCGGAACTGAAAAACTAAGCATACACCATATAGTATTTGCAGCAATACCAACCCCGTTTAAACAGAGAACTTATCTTTTGTTTCAGCAGTGAAGGAAAAGAAAAAAGGAAAAAAAAAACTGAATCTAATTAATTATCAAGCCAAAAATCACATTCTCCAACCAATGATCGGAGTCTCTCCCTATGCGGTAATTTCCATCTCTTCCATCGCTATATAAGCTACGTCATGAAAAGTGTTCATCAATGATGGGCCTTGGCTTCAGCTTTCGCGCGTGACTTGGCCTTTGCCTGGCAAATGCACAAAAATACAGCCAAAAGACACGTTATTAGACAATCAAATTCATATTCTATACAATTAACTGATCAAGATATATAAGACGGTCTATGTTTCATGTGCTTACATGCTGTAAAAAAAACAAATTATACGGCATGGAATTGAAGATGACGTAACCAGAAGAAACTCATCAACAAAAATGTCTTACAGCTAAATGCCTATGAACACATACAGCCAATTTTCTTTCAGAAAAATTTTGGGTCGCAGTTGAGCCAATTAACAGGTACAAGATTTGAACTTCAAGTGTCCAACGAGACTTCTTCCTTAAATTAGAAATGCCCATGAAAATAAGGCAGTGAAGAAATCTCGTCTCCAAAAGAAAACAAGTTGAAACCATTAGAGCAACAGGTTAATGTTGAGTTCATGTCCATTAAGGAGTGAAAATAGTCATTATTAATAAATACGGAGTTGATTTAGCAGAGGCGCCATACAATCAACTACAAAAATAACCATTTCAATAAATTTACGATAACAACGGTTGGAACAGAAGTTGATTCCAATTTACCTTCAGAACCTTGAGCTTAATGTTTCCGTAAACCAAACCAAAGGTGAATGCTGATGCACGGGCTACCTGCAGAAATCAATTCCCAAAAAAGATTCAGAATCTCAAATGAACAGATCCATCTCATTCCCAATAAAGGATATAAAAACAAAATAATGAAGAAATACGAAAAAGAAAATAAAATTTTTTGAATCGCAGATCCATCCCTTCTCACCAATTACCGCCTCGTGGAGAATTCGGAACGAAAAAATCTAGATGCATTGAAATCCTGTTCTAACCAGCTTGAAAAGATCAAAGTGGATACGGGACATCACAGGGATCGAGCTAAATAAAATCACTGCAAATGATTAAAGGTAAAAGAAACAGTAAATACCAGAGCGAGGGTGCTGGTGCCGGAGTAAGGGCCAGGAGGAAGTGCCATTAGATGCAAATTATGATATCAGTCGCGACAGAGAAATGCTTGTACTTGTCTCCTTCTAGCGCCAATGAGTTCGCCTTTCCCGCCTGGATCGAAGAACCCTAATTTGCTCTCAAATTTTGGATCCGAGTCGCCTGTCAAATATGGAACTCAAACTCATGGAGGGTAATTTTGGTTAAATGCCCTCCCTACCCAGGCCAAAATTGTAAATTTAATTATAATTATTATTCTAATACCAAATTATATAAATCATTATTTTACATTTTATGTCACCGTTTCTTTCCCTCGTTACAGTGACACGCAGAATCCAAAGGCGTTACGCGATGCCACGACGTGCATCGTCTCTGGTTTACCGGTAATTGAAAATGAAAAGAATAATGGAAGAAACCAGACTCGCCGGTGGATCAGTGAAACTCTTCCGTCGAGTCGTCTGATCTCCGATGAAAAAAGCCATCGACTCAAGTCGTTGATAGTGCACTCAGCCTAGCATTTCTCCAGAGATGGTGATACTCTCGTTTATCGCCGTCAGGTTTACGCCTCAGACTACTCTAACTCCTTCCTTCCCTTTCTTTTTATAATTTGTATCATATTGTATTGTTCTTATCACTTCACATACCTGAAATGTGTTGCTCAGTTGAAGTTCAAATTCAATTATTCGCAAGTTTTCTTCATCTGAGCTCTCTTTATTGTTAATTGAATTCTGGTGGCTCATTCTTTGCTCGTGAGGAAGATATCTCACGGTCATTACGATTCTAAATGTTTTTCTCCATTTTGTTTTTCTAAATGTGGCCAGCTGTTTGAATCGGGACTAATTTTCTTGATTTATAATTTTCAAGTAATTTTCAAGCAAATTGGTGTTCTTCGATTGGAAGACGCAAGTGATTTGTTCGTCCAAATGGAATGATGCACCGTCCGACTCGTTTTGCCACTACATGCGCCACTTGAGGGTGTCTGATCACGGCACTTCGAAGTATGCATTTCTTTATTTGGTGGAAACATAGGTATCTGATTGAAGTGCGTGATATCTCTGCAGACTTATCTGTAGAGAAGCTCTTGCACTGAGATGATTTATGAACTTATTAACTAAGGAAGCGGGAATCAGCTAACTACGAGGTATCATATTTCAGGCAGTAATAGAGTCTTCGTTCTTCAATGTGAATCATCGAGTGTGAGCCTTAGACAGTCTCAATCGTTAAGATTATGCTAGACATGATGTCTGACCGAAATGCTGTGTTCGATGAGAAGATCGTTAGAATAAGATGAGACGCGGGTTTGATACGAATGCTTGATGCTCCCTACATTAGTTAATAGCTTGGATGGTTGGTAGGTGTATTGAAATCTATGAAAACTGTGAACTGCGAACCATATGAGGTGTTTTAACGTTTCTACGACTATTTTCTGAACGAAGCTGTTATATGCTTTGCCTAGAGATATGGTAGAATGGTCACTGGCTTGTGTCCATTGCCATGTTTACCATACTACCATAACAATGAATGAAAGGGGAGTATGGTTGTCTTTGAGAATAGTGTGTCCTGCCCTTATCAATGTTCTCGAAACTTTCTAAGATCTTTGGATACACACTATTGGTAACAGATCGTTTAAACCAATTTCCTAGTAAATGCAGGCAAATTGTAGTTTTCCGATATTTCTGAAAGCACGAGCACGAGCACGAGCACGAGCACGGCGTAACAAACCCCTTCCAGTCAATTTCAAACTAGTTATAGAGCATGTACTGGTATAACAAGTTCTCATAAACAAATGACTTATGAAAACCAACTCAGGATTCACAGGCCATATTTAGATCTTGATTCGGAATCCTTTCACATCTAAAGTTACTGCTTGTCTTCTGCTTTTTTTCTAGACTGCAACAAGAAGCACACGGAATTTGAGACAATTGCATGTAATTCAAATACAATAAAAGGCATTTCTGCCAGTAAACCAAAAATGAACACGAGGTGCAGAAAAACAGATTTAAAAAAGAACTTCGGCACAAAAGCACACGTGATGCAGAGAGAAGTTCGTCTTAGTCATATTACTTCCAGTCTTAAAAGTTACTTGAACCCTCAGACAACAACTTATTGAACATTTTAAACCTTTTTACTACAACAAGAAAAAGAAATCTGCAACATATGCTTCTCATTTCTTAACTTAAGAATCGATGGCTTAATGAAATTTTGCAAACTGGGGACACCATATTGTTACATCGGCGCTACGCTTGTAAAACCTTTCCTGGTTACTTGAGCAGCTTTGGCGCTACGCTTGTAAAACCTTTCCTGGTTACTTGAGCAGCTTTGGCGCTACGCTTGTAAAACCTTTCCTGGTTACTTGAGCAGCTTTGGCGCTACGCTTGTAAAACCTTTCCTGGTTACTTGAGCAGCTTTGACCATGGTTACTCATTCTAAGAACATGCTATTCAACTATGACAACAGCTGAGTCACAGCAGGTAACACAAAATGAGTTTTTAGACAAACATGTAAAAATCCAAGCCCACTGCTAGCAAATATTATCCGCTTTGGCCCATTACGTATCGCTGTCAACCTCACAGTTTTTAAAAAGTGGTTATAGGGGAGAGGATTTCATACCCTTATAAGGAATGCTTCATTCCCCTCTCCAACCGATGTTACAAATGGTATCAAAGCCAGACGTTAGGCGGTGTGCCAACGTCTCGCTGGACCTCTAAGGGAGGTGCATTGCAAGATCACACATTGGTGGGATAGGGGGAACGAAACATTCCTAGTAATGATGTGGAAACCTTTTACTAACAGACATGTTTTAAAACCGTGAGACTGACGACGATACGTAACGAGCCAAATCGAACAATATCTACTAGTGGTAGGCCAGGGCCGTTACAAATGGTATCAAAGCCAGACATTGAGCAGAGCGCCAGCAAGGACGCTAGGCCTCTAAGGGGGGGTGCATCGTAATATCCCACATTGGTTGGAGAGGGGACGAAACATTCCTTATGGGGGTGTGGAAACCTCTCCCTAGCAGACGCGTTTTAAAACAATGAGGCTGACGGCGATACGTAACGGGCCAAAGTGAACAATATCGACTAGTAGTGGGCTTGGACTGTTACAAATGGTATCAGAGCTAGACACTGGACAGCGTGCTAGCGAGGATGCTTGGTCCCTAAGGGGGTGTTGTGAGATCTCATATTGACTGGAAAGGAGAACGAAGCATTCCTTATAAGGGTGTGGAAACCTCTCTCTAACCGACGCGTTTTAAAACTGTGAGGCTGACGGCTATACGTAACGGGCCAAAACGGACAATATCTACTAGTAGTGGGCTTGGGCACTTACAAAACATCTCATCTTAGAAAGGAAAGGAGGCCATCATGGTTTGAACAAATTTCTTCTGAACCCTTACCTAATTTTGAAGCTCATGGCTCTTATTGACCACTAGGCCTAAGGGGAAGAAAATTAGACTACATAACTCAATGTACGCAAAAGACCAGATATTTGTTTGGTGGGATCGTCAGTAAGCTGATGATAATCATCATCTACATGTTACTAATACATCAATTTAAGAGCGTGCTTCATATCAATACACATGCATACAAGCGCACAGGCACAGATGTTTAGGACAAACATTCGAGTCAATTGAATTCCCAAAGGCTAGGACGTTTCACAAAGTAATTGCCAAAACTATAATTCTTGCTAAATAAGATAGAAGCACTGGGTACTCTTACATTAGCTTGAGATGCAATGACAACAAAGTACATGAAGAGAATGTACATATACGAGAACAACGAAGTAAGATTGCAAATACAAATTTCACAGTTGCAAAAATTCCACTCCAAAAGAAGAAAGTTCGTAAAGCTCTTTGTGTGCATATGTTGTTCGACAAAATGCCACATGTAATGCCCAAAATGAAAACTCAACCAAAAGAGGACCGAGAAACGCTCACATAAAGGGAGAAGAAGAAGACGAACCTTGATACTGGGAGCGGGTTGATTGAGCTCTTCATCGGGAATGATAACTGGCCAAGTTTCCCCAGCTTCTCGGAACATTTGCTCGGTCTCAAGGAGTTGGCCCTTTTCAAGAATCATATTCCTGATTGTTTGAGAAGGAGTAGATGTACCGTCAAAAACCTCTTCGACTCCGTTGACAAAGGCGACGGCGATCTGGGGCGGGTGGTCATCGGTTCGGCGCTTGACGATCAATTGGCAAGCGGGGTTCGACTCCTTGGCCTTGCGAGCATTACACTGCGCTAAGAACTCCATGCAAGATGATAAGCGTGGATCTAAGGCATTGAATTCGATATTTAGAACTTTAACATAGCTGCTTCTTCCTCTTCGCCCGAACCTGCGATCAAAATGATTGGGGACTGCGATAAGAAGGTAATGGCCACGGTTTTTATTAAATCAATTTTTAGCCTTTTAAATATATTCTCACATCACATATACACAATGAATGGTAAAATATTTCTGAGAATTAGGAATTTTCAATTACAACGAACGAAGGCTTGAGCCTGGCCCAGTAATATCTTACCAACCCAAATATATAAATAGAATGAAAAAAAAAATAAAACATTGATGGGCCTGACCCAGTTATCTCTTGCCAACCCAAATACCCGACAAAGTCCAAAAACATTAATGGGCCTAGCCCAGTTATCTCCTGCCAACCCAAATAGATAGAATGTTAAAACAACATTTTTGGGCCTGGCCCAGTTATATCTTACCAACCCAAATAGAATAGAAAGTCCCAACAACTTTGAAGGTCTAGCCCAGTTATCTCTGACCAACCCAAATACAATAAAAGTCCAAATAATATTGATGGGCCTGGCCCAGTTATCTCTCACCAACGCAAATCCAATAGAAAGTCCAAAAAATATCGATGGACCTGGCCCAGTTATCTCTTACCAACCTAAATACAATAGAAAGTCCAAAGAACGTTAACGGGTCTGGCCCAGTTATCTGTTACCAACCCAAATAAAATAGAATGTCCAAAAAACATTGATGGGTCCGAAGAACATTGATGGGTCTGGCCCAGTTATCTCTGACCAACCCAAATACAATATAAAGTCCAAAGAACGTTAATGGGCCTGGCCCAGTTATCTCTTGCCAACCCAAATAAATAAGTCCCAAGAACATTGATGGGCCTGGCCCAGTTATCTCCGATTAACTCAAATACAATATAAAGTCCAAAGAACGTTAATGGGCCTGGCCCAGTTATCTCTCACCAACCCAAATACAATATAAAGTCCAGAGAACGTTAATGGGCCTGACCCAGTTATCTCTTACCAACCCAAATAAAATAAGTCCCAAGAACATTGATAGGCCTGGCCCAGTTATCTCTGATCAACCCAAATACAAGTCCAAAGAACGTTAATGGGCCTGGCCTAGTTATCTCTGACCAACCCAAATAAAATAAGTCCCAAGAACATTGATAGGCCTAGCCCAGTTATCTCTAACCAACCCAAATACAATATAAAATCCGAATAACGTTAATGGGCCTGGCCCAGTTATCTCTGATCAACCCAAATACAATATAAAGTCCAAAGAACATTAATGGGCCTGGCCCAGTTATCTTTTACCAACCCAAATAAAATAAGTCCCAAGAACATTGATGGGTCTGGCCCAGTTATCTCTGACCAACCCAAATACAATATAAAGTCCGAATAACGTTGATGGGCCTGGCCCAATTATCTCTTACCACCCAAATAAAATAAGTCCCAAGAACATTCATGAGCCTGGCCCGGTTATCTCTAATCAACCCAAATACAATATAAAGTCCAAAGAACGTTAATGAGCCTGGCCATGTGATCTCTTACCAACCCAAATAAAAGAAGTCTCAAGAACGTTGATGGGTCTGGCCCAGTTATCTCTGACCAACCCAAATACAATATAAAGTCCGAATAACGTTGATGAGCCTGGCCCAGTTATCTCTTACCAACCCAAATAAAATAAGTCCCAAGAACACTGATGAGCCTGGCCCAGTTAGACCAACCCAAATACAATATAAAGTCCAAAGAACATTGATCGGCTTATCTCTTACCAACCCAAATAGAATAAAAAAGTCCCAAGAACATTGATAGGCCTGCCCATTTATCTCTTACCAACCCATAGGATAGAATGTCCAAAGAACATTGATGGGCCTGACCCAGTTATCTCTTACCAACCCAAATTGAATAGAATGTTCAAATTAACATTGATGGGCTTCACCCAATTTATATCTTACCAACCCAAATAGGATAGAAGGTCCAAAGAACATTGATGGGCCTGGCCCAGTTATCTCCTGCCAACTGAAATAGAATATAATGTCCAAAAAAAACATTAATGGGCCTGGTCCAGTTATCTCTTACCAACCCAAATAGAATAGAAAGTCCAAATAACATTTGATGAGCCTGGCTCTGTTATCTTTTATCAACCCAAATAGAATTGAATGTAAAAGAACTCTGGGCTTGGCCCAATTATCTCTTATCAACCCAAATAGAATTGAATGTCCAAAGAATATTGATGGGCCTGGCCCAGTTATCTCTTTCTATTTGAAAAAAAAAGCAAAACATATGCCAACTCAGCACTTCCGACAAACATTCTGTATATGTTCTGTTTCCGAATTCGGCTTCCCGTATTTGAAAAAATGTACCGTCTGTTTAGACTCAATATCCAACTGTACCCCAAAATCCACGTACCAAATTGGTTATGGTTTTTTTTTTTTTTCCATACAACTCATTTTCTTGTCTTGTTGACTGTTTCATCACGTGATGTTCCGTATTGGTTGGGGAGGAGAACAAATCACCATTTATAAGGGTGTGGAAACCTTTCTCTAGTAGACGTGTTTTAAAGTCTTGAGGGGAAGCTCGAAAAGGAAAACTCAAACAAGATAATATCTGCTAGCGGTGGATCTGGGTCGTTACACATCACCACAATATCTTAACCCTTCTATGTTTACAGGCTATTAGCATTTGTCATTTGATAAGAGTGTTTCTAGTGCTCGCATGAGAGGTGACTCGTTACATATATACGACGTGATTCTATTAGGATTGTATCCTAATAATATGAGTTTACATGCGAAGTCACTCCTTGCATCCATATGATGTGATTGTACTAGAATCATGCCCTATTAGATATGATAACACATATGAATTACTCTTTGTACATATCAAATTCTACTAGGGTCGTGTTGTATGTGATATGAACCCACATGCAAGATCATTCCTAACATGAATATGAGATGATCTACGAGAGTCATACCCTATAATAAAATCAGCATGTGTACAAAATGATTTAATAGTAATGTAACTGAATTAATATATAGTTTATAATAATGATGTAATAGAAATAATACAAAGCGTCATTCATATTTTACCATTAACCAAAGAGAGACGCACAATAATTAGTTCTTATTTATATATTTTTTTTCAATTTTCTCCAACGGTATTGAGACTTAAAACAATAACGAAAATGAAATATTAAATATTAAATCCAAACAGAGAAAGCCCGAAATTGAGGACAAGTTTGAGTCACTGAATGTGCACCCAAATTCCCTCGCTCGGAATATCGCGATGAACAAGGTATAATATGTAATATCCCGGCGGTGCAACGTTACCTGATTCCGGAATTGTAACCTCAACTTCATATGTCATATTCCCTCCACGTCTAAACTTCCTGCCGGAGAGAACCAACAGCCTCTGATTCATGGAGAACGAATGAGTGTTGAACGCCGGCGACAGAATCGTCACCGACACCCTTGTCCGATCAACTTTTCCGGGGACACCGAAAGGCACCTTCAATGCTTGCCCACGGACGAGATTTGTGGGAGAAGCTAGGTTTTGGATTGAGGGTCGTACATATGAAAATAAGGGGTCTAAATACCAAGGGGAGAATGCTTCTAAGCTTAACTCTGTCGGGAAAAGTACACCGGTGAATTCGTAAAGCGCGTGCGGATTACTGCCGCCGACGAGAACACGACCGTCGCGGAGTAATATCGCCGTCGAGTGGTACATTCGGGGAATGGTGGTCGGCTTTTGAAATGTGAATCTCCTACCCAACGGTATACTCGGGCGGTACAGAACAGGGTTCAAAACCGGTTCCCGACCGTATTCCCAACCGGCGGTGCCGGCAGAGGCTCCGTTAATAAGCAAAACCTGGCCGTTTGGAAGCAACAACATATCAGGCATCACCCAAGGATGCGGCATTGTTTCCATGACCCACTGCGGATCCGGGTCAGTAATCTTAATTCTGGCACAAGTGTTCAACGCCGCTACAAAATTATTGCGTTTGGCCTTCTTCAAAGCACCTTTTGGAGCTCCCCCACACACCAATACCTCAACTTCGATGGATTCAGTATCCAAATTTAAGGGAAGCATCACGGCGGAGCCGGTACTAGGGTAGCATCTCGGATCGCCGCCGGGAATCGTCGGAAATGTTTTGACGACTCTGTTTTTGGTGTAATCGAATAGAATGGCTCGATTGTTGGCAAATATGAACAAATTTCCATCCGGTTGCAGAAATACATATGGGTATAAATTGTTTTCGATTTTGGGATCGCTCGTCTCCGCCAAGAAAGGAAGATCGAACACGGTTTCGGTTGCTGTTCTTTTTGGATAGAATTCGTAATTGAACTGTTTCTGGCCGCCGATGATGATTTGTCCGCCGTCGGGTAGAATATGGTTAGTGGCATACCACCGGCGGGCTGATAGTCCCGGATGCTCTTCCCAATCGCACGTGGGACAGGGGCTCAACATTCTGATCTGCCGTTCGCCTTTACCGTCGCCGCCAGTTTGGACAAGAGTGCCGTTGGGGATTACGGCGCCGGAGGAACACCAAACGTCGGTTTGTACCATGAGTGGTCGGAATGTGTTGGTGATGACATCGTACTCAATAGAATGGGCCGTACAGTCCTCTTTTATTTTGCCTGTAGGGTCTCTTAGGCATTTTCCTTGGGGCAAAGACAAATTGGATGCACCAAAGTCGGTGCGGTCGAAAATGACGACGCGGTCGTTTGAAAGCAACTGCGTGTGCATGGACGATATGCCGACGTTTTTCAGCAGCAGCTGCCAGCTCCCTCGACCCTCCTCCGTGAGAGGCTGAGCGGAGAAGAGAAGTATTTGGGCTAAAAAGAGTGCTAAAATGAGTGAAGGAGTATACATATTTCGAGCTGGTGTCGAGTGCATGGCTTTGAGGCCATAGTGTTTACCTATATATACACATGTTTACAGGAGAGAGGCTTACACTTCGCCTCCCACTTATGACAAAACGCGTGGAATACTAGAATTCACCAAAACCATTTGCGTCAAGTGTTTCTTTGTGCTTTTAAGTGTTCACCCAATCATTATGCTCATTCTTCCGTCATTAATTGTTTTATTATAGCCACTCTATCTTATATTATTTACATGAGATTTCAAAATTAAACTCCCGTTAATAAAATTTTCTAGTCCTGTTTATTTAATATTTTTCAGTTTCCAAATTCATTAATTATTTTTTTTTGAATTTAAGACAGGAAATTGAAAGTTTCTTTTAACATGTACTTAAATATTCAAAACATAAATATATATATTTTTGAAGTTCTTACTAAATTAAACTTTGTGCTAGGACTAGGATGTCTCGTCTGAAAATCAAGACATTAGTTATTTTTATTCGTCACAAGGTCTTCCTAAATTCTTGAGTCTAGCGACTTCGATATTATTTTTATTTAGTTTGTTTTAGAATCCTTATTTATTAAAATTTATAATATTGTGAATGACACATAGCTTCTTATCTTATAAAATTCTAAACAGAAATTAGTTCAACGATCAATTATTATTAGCTTATTATTTATATATCTACTACTATTTCATTTTTCAAATTACTTATTCTAATTATTTTTTGCCCTATTTTTCTTCCACTAATTCGATTTAATTGAATTAAATAATTATAAAAAATTTAAATTTAAATTTTCTTTTTACTTTCATGGGTTCTGATTTTAATTTCTTTTTCTAAAGAACAAAGATCATCATAGACCAAAAAAACATCCTTTAAGGTAATGGTAGACATTTTTTTTTTGGAAAAAAAAACCATTTTAACCAAATTTATACTTTTAATTTTATCAAATTTGACCCTAGATTTAAATAAATATTACCATAATACTCTTTAATTTTAAGAAATATTTGTGGTCTTTTCAAAAGTTGTCTTTTATATATTTAATGAACTATAAAAAATTTATACAATATAAAATTGATAAAAATTTAAATAGAAAAATAAAATCATAGCTGATTTTTTTTTTGGTTGAAATTTATAAATTTTGATAAAGTTATTTAATAATTAATTTATGTATCGATCAAATGTTTTTCTTTTTTACAAAACTTAATTTTATTAAAGTATTGAGTTGATGAAAATTTCTACACTTTCTTAATTAAAAATTGTAAATGAATTAGCATAATTCTAATTTATTATCAAAATTTATGATTATTTTGATTTTTTTTCTTTAAATGAATGGGCTCACAACCAAAACCAAAATTAGATAAGCATTTTAGTTTTCCAGCGAATTCATCGACAATGCCAATGGTGTGAATAAATAACATGTTATTTTCAAAGAATATGAGTTGTATGGGACAATTATCCTTCAAACATTCCTTCTGGTTATTTAATTTCAAAAAGTAACGGTTAATGACAAATCTTTATTTCATTAAAATTAATGAGTATAGGAAAATTTCTATATTAGTATTGTAGATAAAATTTGTGGATAAATTTACTAAAGTCGAATCAATAGTTGATTAAAGTTTATTATCTAATTTGACGAACTTAAAATTTTAAAATCGTTACGATCGACAATAATCAAATTTAATTATTCCTAAATTTTTTTAATGGTCTCCATCAAATTCATAGGCAATGCCAATGGTGAATAAAAATATTATGTTTCAAATAATATGATCTGTATTACCATCATCCTTTAAAATTTGCATCTGTTTTATTTAATTTTAAAAAGTGGCTTAAAAAGGAAAACCTTGTGGATTTTCTCCTTTTGTTTCTCATTTAATTCTTAACCTTCCTTTTCAGCTATCTTATTAATGTTTTGACCCTCTGATTTTACTTAAAACATATTTAATTACAACTCTAAAATGTCCTAAAAAGTAACTAACAGTATATTAAATGTAAAATTTATTTTTTTTAAATTATTATACAAAATTGAAACTTTGAACAATAACTATACATTTTTTTTTGCAAGTACAAAAACACCTAAAGCTTAAATTTAACCTATTAATTACTATTAATATTAGGCATATATGTAATTTTAGTTTACGAATCAAATTTAATCCTAAAAAATTAATTACTATTGATATTGGGCGAAAACTTTAAAACATCTATTTTCAAAGATTAAAAAATAAGTGGAATAATTCAAAATAATTAATAGACATAAATGATTTAAATGAAATAGATATGATAAATGCCATAACTTTAAATAAAGAAAGGTAAGTTAACTGCAATTAAACTTACTTGGAAATAATATTAATATTACATGTGCATGTGTTATTTCATAATTGATAAGCTTCAAGATCTTTCTATAATATATGTTTGAGATATGGATAAAGTATAATTTTATATATCATATTAGGAACGTTAAATATATATATATCTATATTTTTTTTAAAAAATTAACCATGTATAAGGTGGATAATTCCAATCTTAGATATATATTTTATTTCAAATTAGAGATGCAAGCCCACCATCCAGGGTGAATTACTTTTGCTTGTATGGTACGCCAATACTGTACGGCGGTCCGGCGAGGGGCCTCTTACTCATTCTCGCCCCAAACTACCCATTCTTTCCTTACTATTCTTACCCTCACTCAAAAAATTTGTTGTTCCGGTGGACAAATTGCCGGGATTAGACGGAGTCTGGCCTAATAGCGACGACCCGAAACGCCACGGTCGGAGGGGAGACGGTGGCGTTATGTCGGCCTCCACTCGAAGACGAAATAACTCCATTGGGCCGCTTTTTCTGTGATTGGGCCGCACTCGTAACCTATGAAGTTGACCAAGATTGAAGTAAATTATGAAACACTTTATAGGTTACATCACATTATATGATCATCATTAGAACAATAAATAAATGGAAAAATCACTTATTTCATTCCAACATTTTTTCTAAACTCGAATTCATGGCGTTTCAAAATGATAAACCTTCAAATTTTGATATCACCCATAACGAAGATTAGAACCCATTTATTCACTGAAATATTAGCAATTTAGAAGGAAGGGGGACGAAAAAATAGAGGTAAAGATGGGGAAGGAAGAAGACAGCCCGAAGTTCCTCTCTCGTTTCGCTTTCCAGATCCGATGAAACAAACAAGAACACAGAATTAATTCATCCCCTGTTCTTATCTAAAATTAAAACCCTTATGGATTCTTCATTCATTTATCTGCCTTTCTAATTCCGTAATCCCATTTTGTCTTTTTGTTTTCCTCTGATCCTTGTTAGATTTTTCTTTAACCATGTCGACGAGAGGGAGCAGATCGGAGAAGGTGAACAGGATATTTCAGAAATTCGACGCTAACCGTGATGGGGGTCTCAATAGGGACGAAATGGCTGCGCTTGTCGTGGCTGTTAACCCTAGGGTCAAATTCAGCGATGAACAGATCAATGCGATTCTTGACGAGGTGTTTCGGACGTACGGGAATTTTATTCAGGGCGATGAGGGTTTAACTTTTGAGGGGTTGTTGAGGACTTATGATGATGGCGCTGGAGATGTGGACCGTGACTTCGACGCGCTTGAATTGGATATTAATAATAAGGGAATTTTGGTGACTTCAGAGGCTTCGTCTTCTTCAATTGCCGACGAGCGTGCTTTGGAGTCCCAGAAGAAGCAGAGAACTGCAGCGTGGGCATTGTCGCCGAATCATGGCATTGTGTTTGACGATAGTTGGAAGATCGTCGATGATTTGGAGATTTTAATCAAAAGATTGAAGGCCAAGCAGGCTAAGGATGGGAAATTGAAGGCGGACAATTTGGATGCCCACTCTGATGCAGGCTGGTCCAGAGAATTAGGGCCGTCTTCGGAGCTTTCAGAGAAGAGGGTTTTCTGGGAAGAGTCCGGCCATGACTATGTTTCGTTTCTCAAGGAATTAGAGGCGTTGAGAACTCGAGCAGATCGTGCGCGATCCAGAGATGAGGCTTTTGATGGGCATATGGTAATTGGTAGGGTTTTGTATGAGCACCAGCTGTTTAAGGAGGCTCTGGTTAGCTTCAACAGGGCTTGTGAACTGCTACCTACCGACGTGAAGCCTCATTTTAGAGCTGGGAATTGTTTCTATGTTCTTGGAAAGTATAAGGAAGCCAAGGAAGAGTTTCTGTTGGCAGTGGAAGCGGCGGAGGCCGGCGGAAATCAGTGGGGATATTTGCTTCCACAAATTTACGTGAATCTTGGAATTGCACTTGAAGGTGAGGGTATGGTGTTAAGTGCTTGTGAATACTATAGAGAAGCTGCAATTCTGTGTCCCACACATTTTAGAGCTTTGAAGCTTTTGGGGAGTGCTTTATTTGGGGTAGGGGAGTATAGGGCCGCTGTAAAGGCTTTGGAAGAGGCCATATTCATGAAACCGGATTATGCTGATGCGCACTGTGATTTAGCCTCGGCTTTGCATGCAATGGGGGAAGATGAGAGAGGGATTGAAGTGTTTCAGAAGGCAATTGACTTGAAACCTGACCATGTAGATGCTTTGTATAATTTGGGTGGGCTTTACATGGACTTGGGTAGGTTCCAGAGAGCTTCAGAAATGTATACAAGAGTTTTAGCTGTGTGGCCTAACCATTGGCGGGCGCAGCTCAACAAAGCTGTGTCCTTGTTAGGTGCTGGTGAAACAGAGGACGGTAAGAAGGCCTTAAAGGAAGCCTTGAAAATGACAAACAGGGTGGAGTTACATGATGCAATATTGCATTTGAAGCAGCTGCAGAAAAAGAAGTTGAAAGCTAATGGCAGTGCAAATGGAGAGGGGTCTTTTGTAGTTGTGGAACCCTCAAAGTTTATGATCATTGGAGGGAAGACTGTTTCGAGACCGGAGTTGTCGAATGCTCTTGTAATTAGAAATTTTCAGAAGATTACCCGAATGAATCGTTGTGATGTGGAGCTTATAAAGAAGGAAATCAGTGAACATGATGTGCCAGTGTCGTATTCAGGTAGTGGTGTGCCTGAGAGGTCCATACGCAAGCCTAAGTTAGAAGAAATTCTTCGTAGATTATTGAATTTCTTAAAGCCAGAGACGTTCCAAGGAGCTGTCAAAGGCGTAAACGAGAGGATACTCTCTGTGTTGGATGAGTCAGGCTCAGGAAGGGTGGACTTGGGGCTGTTTTTTGCCGTTCTTGCTCCCATTTGCAATGGCCCCCCTGAAAAGAGAAAGCGGGTGGCATACGACGCCCTTGTATGGCGACATGTAAACGAGGGCGGTACTCAGATTAGAAAACTTGATGCAGTTAAGTATATCAAATTGTTGAGGACTATATATGTTCCTATCGAAGGATCGAGCGAAATTGTGGAAGTCCATGGCCACACAGATAATTCTATCGTGTCTTTCACAGAGTTTCTCGTCATGTTTGATGACCCAGACCGGGGTTTTGGTATCATGTCCACCATGTTAAAGCTAGAAACAGGGGACAGAAATCGGCATGGAAATCACGTATGCTCAGTTTGCCGATATCCTATCATCGGTTCTCGATTCAAGGAGATGAAATCACATTTTAGCTTGTGTAATCAGTGCTATAGCGAGGGGAAGGTGCCCCCTTCATGCAAGCAAGAAGCATACAGATTTAAAGAGTATGGGAGTGAGGGTGAAGCAGTTAAGGACAAATGTTTCTGCTTTACAATGCAATCTCATGACGATTCTTAGCTTAGATTAGGTGTTGGGAGTCAATTATATAGCTTGGAGTGTGTGCAGTGGGCGTTTTGCCCTTTGTATAATAAGCTCTCATATATTTTATTTGTTTATCGCAGCCTATCTGCTTGTTATGTGATGGAAAGTGATGATCGTAGATTCCACTGTTATATACGACTTGGGTTTTGTTCAATGGGCAAGGAGGAGCCCTCCAAAGAAATATTATTCTTCTATTCACCGACTCACCGTCTGTAACTGACGGTCTAAGCCTACCGCTAGTCAATATTATCTTTTTTTTTTTTTTTTTTTACTTTTCTTTTTGAATTTCTCCTCAAAATTTTTAAAACGTTGTTAGAGAATTACTTCACTCACAGGAGCCTTATAGCCTTGGTCAAGTTCCAACTTATCCTTGTTATGATCACCAAGGGTATGATTGAGCTTTTGAGCAACAGATTCGTCTTCTTCAGCTATACAGGGTTCATCAAAACCACTGCCATCATTGTCACTAGATGCATATTCCCAGCTTAATAGCTGCAGTCAATTATGAACACAAATGTATGAGTATCAGAAATCTACAGAATTGGAATGAATGTATAGCTATTAAAAGTCACAGTGTCAGATTGATCATCCAAAAGCCGACGAGTTCTTGGCTTATCAACATCACTGTCTGCGTCCTCAAATAATTGTAACCATCATCAGGAAACCCTAGCTCTAAAATCTCCTTCCTAACATTTTCGGGTAAAGGCGCTGTTCCACGAACTTCCCCACGAGACCGTACAGAAGGCTCGAAACCTCCATTCTCCTCATCATCGTAGTCGTCTGGAGCATCGGCAAATATTGAGTTAGGTGGTTCATCAAAGCAAGGCAGAACCGGAGGCGTCGACAGGGCCATCATCGAAGACAGGGAGAGTATATATTAAGAGTGGTTGTCGACACGAACAAAAACACGGTCGGTGGCGGCAGTTCCATCGTAATTGGGATCGGATGAGTCAGGAACGAGTAATTGGAAAGTTGCGGATTTCTTCTTCTCCAGAAACTTCTTCTTCCCCATAGCGAGTCGAGTTAAGAAAATTGAAGAATACTTAGATCGGGGGCACGCACGGTTCGGTTCTGAACGGTCCTAAACCGAACCAAAATAGACAACTTTTGCTTTCCTTCTGACAGTTTCAGCGCCACGGAGTAGGGAGTGAAAAGTAAGGTGAGAAGGGAGGCAGCGACGCCTCCTTTTGCAGTTGTTGGGGAGTGACTTTCGCAATAAGGCTTCTGGTGTTATATACCACACATGACGGGCATTTAATGACCTAGCTCATGATCATTATTTCCTTATTTTACATATGTGTTTCAACAATAATTTCCATCCCTGATTATAATTATAATTCTTTTGAGCATGCATTTGTTTTATCTGCAAATTTGGTAAGATTTGGGTGATTAATGATGAAAAACTCTCCATGGGTTGACAAATTCAAAATTTCATCGCTAAGATTTCTAAATTTTACCATTTAATCATAAAACATTTTAGTTGCGACATGAAATGAACTAAATTTTTAGAGGGTTCTCATTGGATCCTCACCTCTCAAATTCTTTCCCATTTCCACATTCAATATCTTTCTACACCAACAATATTAAAAATTTAAGACATGAATGAAATCAATTTGTGACATGTTTACATGGATCATACCAACATTTTAAACTGCTCAAACAAAGGGAAAGAAAAAAAACATGAATGAGTTTAGGGTTAGAAAAGTTGAGAAATTTAATACCTTGGATGGCGGAAGTAAGAGAGACAGTGTGCTGTGTGTCTCCATTTAACACTGCGATCTCATCCCTCATCACAAACTTAGATAGACAAAAGAAGTCCCATGATATAAAAACCATTCATAATCTCCTTTCTTCAGTGAACAGATTAAAAAGGGGGGGAAAACATGTAGATATGAGTTGTTTTTATGAGTTTTGGAAGTTAATATAGTGGAAGACCCTAATAGATTCACCAAATTATGAGGCAAAAAAAAAAGAACAAAAAAAAAAAAAACTTGACTACTCAAGGAGTGGATAGGTAGTGAGATCTGGAGGGGGAGGGTGTTGAAGGTGAATATTGGGGTGGTTGGGCTGGAGGCGCAAGGCGAATATGCGAGGATGGGCACCGCCTGGGTGGTACCCCATAACTGAGTCATAATCTCCTCCGCCTACTCCTACGCCTACTCCTACTCCGACTCCGACACCTCCATTGTCCACCAGCCCATAATGTGGATCTTCCTCTGTTGCAATATCCTGTACCAAATATTTGGCATTCCCAAACATTATCAAACTTTCAACCATTTCCATTTTCTTCCAATTCCAACTACAATAATCACACTTACAAACTCCTGAAGAAGACTCTTGTGTATTTCTCCTACGCTCTTCAACTGCAGTTTCAAAGCAAGCACTATCATTATCATCAAGTGTTTTTCTAAATATTCCAAAAATGAATAAAGTACACGAGTTGAATTACCTTCTTCTTGTGCGTTTCAATCTGGTTTGATATCACCCGGTACTGTTCAACCATGTTTCAAATTCACGTTGGTCAATGTATACATACAAAACATGCAAATATGAACCTCCCTAGAAGTAAGCTGGGAATAAATGTAGATCAGAAATTCAACTAATATTTGATTTTAAACTAGATTGAAGTGTTTTCTTAAATGCGACAAAAATAATATTAAGAATGAGGACAAAATAAGGGTAATTTATTAATGAATCAAGCATTAATATATTATATAAAAGAATCCCAAGTCCCAAGACAAACTAGTGATTTGAGACATAGTTGTAATAGAATCGAGGTTATTAATATATTATTAAAATGAAAGTAATGGATTTGTGGAACCTTGCGTTCACGGATGATCCTGACGGCATTATCCATATCTTGCTCAAGACAGCGCAGTTCCTCAAAACTCAGATCATTCATGCATTCCCCCATCCTTTGCCTATACATGTATGTATAAATGTATTTTAAGTCATTAAAAGGAAAACAAGGAAGAAATTAAAAATAGAGATCTGGATGGATGTATACATAATCTGCCTGCGAAGGCTGCGATTCACGTCTTTGAGCTTCTTCAGATTCTCTTGCATTCTCTGCACAAGCCCGAATTGATAGGGTATATAGAAGAGTGATGAGAGAAGAAAAGAAGGGGGGAGTGGGAGACCTGGTAGTGAGAGATCCATAGATCAACGCCTAGAGTCTTCTGGTACTGATCGAAAAGCTCCTTGGTCCTGGAAGGAAGGGAAATGAATTGAAAGAATAAAGGAGGGATTTAGGGTTTGAGAGAAAGAGGAGGAGAGGTTAGTTACGAGGTGGAAGGGCTGATATACTCGTGGAGTTTTCCAGTGCTGGAAAACATGATGATGGAGACTTTGGCATCGCAGAGGACGGTGAGCTCGTTGGCCTTTTTGAAGAGGCCGTTGCGTCGCTTGGAGTAGGTGACCTGCCTGTTCGTAGGGTTTTCGATTCGCTTGATCTGGATCTTCCCTCGCGCCATGGGAGGAGGCCTTTCGATTCTTGTTCTAATTCTTCAAGGGTTTTGTTTTGGTTTGATTTGTGGAAGAGGGAGAAATGGAGGAGGAGGAGGAGGAGGAGAAGGGAGATGGAAAGTAAATTATGAAGGCATTGCCGGAAATGGAAAGTTTGGGCCTAATTTGGTGAAAGCACTTGCAGGTTTTACAATAAACCTCGTAATGTCTTTGTTCTGCTTTTCCTCCATAACTCTGCACCAAGTGGGGACCAACACTTTCCGTCCTCTCAATTCACCGCCCTTCCTCTTCCTTTATTCCTATTTCATCCAACCCAACCATCCATAATATTCATATCAAACTTACTTTTTTATCTTTACTTAATTCCTCAATCTACGCCTACTTTCATCTACCACGTCTTGTTATAAACAATTTTGTCTTAGCGGTACCAATAACATTGTTGAACATTTCTTTAGTTGAGTTGAGGATAAGAAGCAGAGGAAGGAAAATGCCAAATAAGACAATATCGGCTAACCATAATTTTTTGCTGTTACAAATGATATCAGAACCAACAATGACGTTAGAAGGAGGAGATTGGATTGTGAGATCCAAGAGAAAACCTCAAGGGAAAACCCATAAGAAAAACCCTAAATAATAAGACAATATTTGTTAGAGGTTAGCTTGAGCTTGTTAAGCCACCCTTAAAACTTAAAAGAGGACAACAGTTGTTGAAAAACTCAAAAGAAGACAATATTTGTTGAAAGAAGACAATATTTGTTGACTTTGACGGCATAGTATTATTTCCTAAAAGTACATTCATTCTCCTCCCAGAGTCCTTAATTACCATCGAGAGTGGTGTAACCCTTTTATGGTGGTCGTTCTTGGTGGGAGAGACTACTTCTCCCGACACCAAATACAGAGGCATCCTTGAGAGAGACATGTGTCTCCCAAGGAGGATGTTTAGATGTGTTGCAATAATTTAAAAAGAATTTGAAAGACATATAATTTATAAATTTAATTCATAGTATAAAAATATGTAATAGGTTCAATGTATCAAATAAATAGGAAATACAGTACAAATTTAAAATTTGCATTTCAATTATTCACATGCCATTAATTAGCTTCATTAATTATTTTATCTATTACAACCAGCATTCAATGTCCTCCGGAATTGGATCTGCTTCATTAAAGTCCGTGACTAAAAACAAAACTTTAGCAAAATACCCTCTCAGGTAACTAAGCTTAGCTGGTCCTTTCCCCAAGCAAGAGTGTAGTAGAACAACGCAAGCATTTAACGTTGTTGGACTCCGAAATAAATGTCACTTCACATAAATAAATAAATAAAAAAGAAAGAACGTCTTCCACGTCTAATCCACAAGATTGTAGTACCAAGCTTCATAAATTCCACGCACAGCAGAAATTAAAAATCATAAACCTGTCCCATGGCGGCTCAAGCAACCCTCAACTCTACTTTTCAATGCCCTTTTTTGTTTTCCTTAATCTCCTCATACTCGACTTCCCATGCGAAAACCCACAAGACAAAAGCTTGTGAGTTTTTCGCTGTCTTGTATGACAAGACAAACTCGTGTCCAAATCCCAGGGACAGAAAGTTAGCCAAACCCTCCGCCTCATCTCCCTCCAAACAGCTCAATACAAAATGCATGCGGTCTGCAAGATCGTTGAAGTTATAAATTTAGTGCAGGGTAAGATTTGGGCCTCATTTGGGCTGAGTATGAGAAATGGGCTGAAA